AGCTGGCTGGCAGCGGTCGTGGGGCGGCCTGGGCTGGGGGGTAACCCGATCGATGGCACGGCTGTGGCTGGAGCCCTGGGTGGCCAGGGCAGCAGGTAGCAAATTGCTAAGCTTGTGCTCAGCAGTGGCAGGAAGAAGCCTAAACTGGGGCGACAACCAGAACGAGAGAAGAAGCAGGGATGGCCAAGGCCCTCCACCGGCTGGCCCAGCCCAGTGGCAGCCAGCGCCAATCATGCCCAGGCTCTGTCTCCCCCAGGAACGGCTTGTGCGGCTGACATTTGAGCCCCACCCTACTCCAGGTTAGCAAGTGGCAAGCGTGTCTCCAGGGGAAAGGTTGAGCCACCTTAAGGTGTGGGGAGGGGACTCCTAAGGCCCCAGGGACCAACTGCGCCTGCCCCTAAGGGTCTCCAAGTCCTCAGCAGACTGAAAAGCAAAGGAGCCCCTCTTTCCTCCCTCACCCCCGAGCGCTCTACCAGGAGGGGAGCAGAGGGGACCTAGTCAGGACAGAGCCTCCACTCATACTGCAAGCATTTATTGAACACCTTCTACCCGCCACGCCCTGGGCTAGGCATCAAGGAGGCCACAGACCTGACGTGACATTGAGGGTGGCGTCAGCCCCCCATGGCTGTCAAACAAAGCAGAGCCACAACCAGGGTACAGGGGAAAGAGAGTTCCCAGTTCAAGCTGGGTTTGCATTCCAGCTTTGCCACTCACTAGCTGTGTGACTTTGGGCAAATCACTCCACTTCTCTGGTCCTAAGTTTGCTCATCTGTAAAATGAGGCCAGGCACCCTAACTGGATGCCAGACAAATAAGCAGCATGGACAAGGGCCTGTGATGCCTGGGGTACAAACTGTCCCCACCCCATTCTCAGCTCCACTTCCGACTCTGACACCCAGTCCTTCCCAAGCAAGACTCTGGGATTGGAGAGAGCCAGGCAGGGGGGTGGGGCTGTACCTCCTGTGGCATGGAAGGGGACAACTGTGGGGCCAGAAGAAGGCAGGGGCTGGGGGTGGTGGGCACTGGTGCCAGCCTTGGGGACAGGGACACTCCTCAGCGGAAGAGGTCCCTCAGCTTCTTCCTGGAAGCTGTCCCAGTGACTCACAGCCATGGCAGGCCAGCAGCTCACCCCTAAATCCTACTACTGTTATCTCAGCCTGTGTCCCCTCGTTGAGTCCTGAGCCTGGCAGAGGGGATGAGTAGTTCCTCCGGTCCGTCTCCCTCCTCATTCAGTGGCAGGGGCTCAGTCTACCAGCCTGGCATGGGGCCAGGAGGCCTTTGAGGCTTGGACCCACCCCCTGCCCCCACCATTCCAGCCAACTCTGACATAGACCCATTCGTTTACGGTACCGTGAGGAGATGGGCTCTGAGTGGGGTGGGGACTTGCCTAAGGTCACAAAGTGGGTTGGTGGCTCAGCCAGGCCTCCCCAGCCTGCTTCCCCTGCCCAGAGAACCCCTGCCTTGCACACAGAAGCCAGGGCCCAGCACAGCCCAAACTGGCCCCTTGGCCGGACGCAAGAGCAGAGGCTGAGATGGGGACAGGCCAGCTCTATGCCCCCATGTCACAGAGGGAATAGGGCCCCCCTTCTTCTAGAGTCCAACCCTAGCATCTGAGCAGGAAAGGATCCAGCTTTAGGCCCAACTCCTTGTCCCCTCACCTGTGGCCTCCCAAACGTGGACCTGGCCCACGGCCAGTAGCCAGGCTCTTGGCGCCCCCTGCAGGCCAAGAGCACCAGGTGGGACTAGCTCCACGGGGGACCCCTTCCCTCAGCTGGCAGAGGCAGAGGGAGCAGCCAGGCAGGGCTGAGGTGCCAAATCAGCCCCCTCCCCTTACAGACGCACCCTCCTCCTGACCCTCAGCCACCCTTGTCTCCTGTCTGAGAAAGTCAGGCTTTTGCCTGCGCCTCAGGACACTGCTAGTCTGCATCCTCTGGGCAGGACCTGGTAGAGAAGACTGGGAGAGTCCCAGCAGGCAAGGCACGTGGGGAAAGTGAAGGCAGCTTAGACAGCCTCAGCCCGAGACCACCCACCTCCACCAGCCCATGCTGCCAGGGAAGGGAGAGACCATCACAGTTACGGCGCACCCATGATGTGCCAGGGTGAAATCCAGATGCAGTAGCCACGTCTAATCACGTTAACTTCTCACAGCCGCCTGCAGAAGAGGAACCACGACCTCCATTTCCAGATAAAAAGAGCCAGACTCAGGCCACACAGCCAGGGGGCTGGTGCAGCAGTGAGGAAGAGAGCGGATCCCAGAATCAGATTCCCTTGGGCTTAAAAGGAAGCCTCACCAGTGGTTCCCCAAGGGCTTCCCATAAAGTGTCCTCCAGGCTAGTGCCAGCCTGGCTTCACAGCTGCTGCTGGGAACCTGTTAAAAGCCCAGATGCCCAGCAGGCCCTGCCTGGAGTGGGGCCCAGACACCTGTGCTTTCAACAAACCCCACGAATGTGTCGATGCACAGCCAGACTTGAGAACCATCGCTCTGGTCCAGCCCAGGTGCCTGACATATAGAATCCAGCTGCTGATTGTGCACCCGTGGGGCTGGAGAGCTCGGCAGCCTGCAGGCAGCCCACCAACTGCACCTTGGGTTGAACGAGCCCAGCTCCCAGCAGCCTCTGCCCACTGGTGTCCTTCATCTCCTTGAGCTACATAAAAGAATATTGTCTACCAAAGGCTTTGAAGCCAGACAAAACCAGGTTCGAGTCCTGGCTCTGCCTCTTACTAGCTCTGTGGCCTTGCACCCAAGGCAAAGTGCGTAACCTGTCTGTGCCTCAGTTTCCTCCTCTACAAAATGGGGGTTCTTTGGCTTGCTGTGAGGATTAAATGTAATAATGTAAGTAAAGTATTTAGGCTTTGCTGATGAAGGGCCATAAAAGTGTCTTATTGTCATCATCATAAAAATCTCCCATATCTTACTAGGCTGTCTGTGTGCTTTTCTATCTGGGGCCACTCACTTATTCATTCCCTCGCTCAGCAAACAGACGTTGAGTTTCTGCCTCGTTGCCTCAGACCCCGGTCAGACCATCTTTCATATGCAAGATCACTCTTGCTCCTGACAACAGTCCCCTGACTTAGCCACAAGCATGGTCTCTCCTTCACATTACAGATGGAAAAACTGAGTCCCGGAGAGTGATGGTCTTCCCCATTTATCCTTCCTTAGACAAGAAACCTGTGCAGCTTCCCTTGTAAGATGCACCAGCATCTTCACCTCCACCCCTAAGAGGGTCATCGCCCCCTGCTGCTCAGAAGACTGGGGTTGCTGGGCTGGTTCCCTGTGGAGTCAGGGGCAGTGGGACATTTGCTCTCTTTTGCTCAGAGCCCTTGATCTGTGGGGCTGAGGCTGAAGGTAGAACCAGGGTCTGAGTTTCCTGCTGGCAGGTGATGGAAAGGCCCCTTTTCTTCTCTGAGCTGACCTGTAAAATAAGGAGTCTGGACCACACCACCTGGCAGGGAACATTCCTTAAGTCTGTGATCCTGTGCACTCTGCTTTGTCTCCAAGAACCTGGGAGGCAGCACCAGGGAGCCTTGCCCTGGGAGGATGCATCTCCCACTGAAGAAGTGGGACAGGGAGGCAGGGGAAGGAGAGGAGAACTTCCAGAGTCACCACTCAGCTCTCTTCCCACCATCAGGCTGCCACTTGTGCACCTACTATGTGCGCTGGGCCCTGGCTAGGGATGCTGGGGTGGGGAGAGGGGACAGGCTGAGGGGCAGTGTTTGGAGCACAAGCCTCAGGGTCATCCGGACCTGGACTCCAATCCATGTCTGCCTTTACAAGTCAGGTGACCTTGACAGTCATCTCGCTGCTCTGAGACATACCCGGCGCTTAGTAGGTGCTCAGTTAATGCACGCCCTTCCCTTGAGAGAGAAACCACTTTCTTCCTCACAGGGTCTTTCCCCAGCTCTGCCCCACCCCCATGAGCTCCTGGCCCAGATCACAAAGTGGCCATCATTAGACGGGGCAGAGCCTTCCAGGGCCCTCAGAGAGGGCAACAGGCAAGAGCCCATGGGGTTTGCAGGAGTTTGAAGTTTGGCTCTGGCACTTGTTACCTGGGTCATCTTGGGCATGTCACCCTCTTAGCCTTTATTTTGGAAGCCACAAAATGAACATCATTGTCACCTCATAGATCTGGAGTGAGGAGGCAACAGAAAGAAGTGCTGGCCGCAGTGCATAGCACATAGTAGGTGTTCAAATCAACAGTAGTGCTCTCTCTGTCCTTGCTGAAATGGATGCAGTAGAAGCCTTTCCCACAGGTGCCTCATCCCAGAGTGTCTTGACATAAATGATCTCATTTGGACTGCAGTCCTCACTGTAACCCTGTGAGGTGGGGCAAGCATTGGTGCCCCACCCTCAGGCTATAAAAACTCCAGAGGCTGAGAGGAGAGCATGGCATGCTTTGTTTTTAAAGCCCCCACCACCACCACCATCTCCAATTCGCCAGCCCCCCACTGCCCTCGTCCCAGGTGCTGCAGCACTGATGCTGGTCTCTACCTGGTGGCCCTGGGATGTGGCTGGCAGTGAGGATCATGGCCTAGTATCCTGAAGGTGGGCTTAGGTCATGGGGGTCCCTGCCTGGGGGCGGGAAAGAGAGAGCCAGGGCAGACAGTGGCTGCAGCCTCCCACCTAGAGGGTATCTCGACATGGAGCGGTTGGAGCCCATAGGCCAGGTCTGAGGTAACATCAGGGCACAGAGTTTGGAGCAGGGGCTGCTACCCCATCAGGGAGGGATCCCACAGAGGCTCTGTCAGCTTCCCTCCCAGAGCTTCCCCTGCTTTGTCTAACTGGAGACAGAGGCCTTGTACAAGACAGCACTGCCCTCTTCCCACCCCAGGAGCTGGGCAGGAGGGCTATCACTGGATCCAGAGAGAAATCGACCTCCAGGACCCATCGCTGGGACTAGTTGGCCCCCAGACACCTGGGCGAGGCATGGCCTCAGCCTGGGCGTGGAAGGAGGAGGGCAGGGGCTCTGCGTCGCGTCCCACCCCCCACCACCCTCTCCCCAGGTACCTGGCCAAGCTGTCCTCGGTGGGGAGCATCTCTGAGGAGGAGACATGTGAGAAGCTCAAGGGACTGATCCAGAGGCAGGTGCAGATGTGCAAGCGGAACCTGGAGGTGATGGACTCGGTGCGCCGCGGCGCCCAGCTCGCCATCGAGGAGTGCCAGTACCAGTTCCGGAACCGGCGCTGGAACTGCTCCACGCTCGACTCGCTGCCTGTCTTTGGCAAGGTGGTGACGCAAGGTGAGGCAGGGGCTGGCGGGGGTGCTGGGGACCCTGGAAGAGACCATCGTGTCCTTGGGTGGGGAACCACATGCCCGTGAGTGACCTGACCTTTCCATCACTTATCAAGTTAAAGCCACATAGGATGCAGATGCAGGCACCAGGAGCACCGGGACCCGGCAGGCAGGAGTCCGGGTGGGAGGGCTATTGGAGGGGGATGCTGTTCTCTGGCTGTGCAGCACAAGACAGTGTGCCATCTTGTCAGTCCTTGAGCTCCCATCCCGTTGTACAGTCAGACACTGAGGCTCAGGCAAGGGAGAAAGGATAGAGTTGCCCAGCGCTCCTCAGAGGGTAAACATCAGAATCAGAATTCAGACCTAGAACTCCAGACCCCCAGCCCCATGCTGTTTTTACCTTAGCAACGGCCTCTCGTAAGCAAGCCCATCTTGTTCGTCTGCACCTTTGACGAACCGTGCAGAGAGCATCACCGTGCCCAGCCCGGAGACCCTGGGAATAACAGCACCCGGATCCTGTCCTCCCGGACTCATAGTCAGGGCAGCAACTACAGCTCAGCAGGGGCAGCAGCTTACACACCAGGAGCACCAGCTAGGGACTAGATGCTGCTTTAAGTGTTTTCAGTAGTATTAACTCATCTGGCCCTTTGAGATAGGCCTCCTTATTGCACATGAAGAAACTGAGGCACAGAGAGGTCAACTTACCCAAGGTCACAGAACCAAAAATTAGCCAAGCCAGGACTTGAGCCCAGCAGTCCAGCTCCAGGGCCCACGATGAGAGAATGCTGTGATGGAGGGGATGTGGTAGCCTCGGGAGCACAAGGCTGGACCCCTCCTCTGGCCAGGACAGGATGCTCAGGGAAACCTTTCCTGAGGAGGTGGGCCCTCAGCTGACACCAGAAATATGAGAAGGCATTAAGCCAGAGGAAGGTGGGCCAGGGCAGAGAGAATGTTCCGTGCAACTGGAAGGCTCCTTGAGAGGTCACCGGGTCAAGCTGCTGCCCTCGAGGGAGCGTTATAAGCCAGCGGCCTCTTCTACTTCCTGAGTGTGAAACTGACACTCCTGAGCCACCTCCAGTCAACAGGCCCCTTGACTTGCTCAGGCAGCAGGAAGGCACTGCTTGGGCCAACCTTTGTCTTGGCACCTGTGGTCCTGGACGGCTAGGGCTGCTGGGCTTGTGGCAAACCATTTGGATGCTGTTGGAAACCAACTGTGATAGAAATTTGGAAGCCATTCTCCTGGGAGCTGGCAGGGACCAAAAAGGCACGATCATGCTTGGCATGACTGAACGTTGCTGCTCCAGAAAAGAAGCGGAGACCCAGTCAGCGGCCTGGTAGCGGAGGTCCTCCCAGGGTGAAGGTTCCCCTGCCGAGCACCCAGGGCTGCCCGCCTGATGAGGCCCAGGTACTAGGCTCAAACAGCAGACCCCGGGCATGGGAAGCCCCTCATGCACAGTAGGTGTTCCATATTGTAGGTGGATTGGTGAATATATTGGTAGGGTTTCACGTGCCAGGCCTCTTCACACCCCCGTGCCTTTGCACGTGCTATTTCCTCTACTCCAAATACCCAGCCCTCTTTCTCCACCAGCTCAACAGGTTCCTCCTCCACAGTCTTCCCAGCTCCTGCAAACAGGTGGTTGTTTTCACCTCTGGGCTGTAAAGCTCTTTGTTCATGCTGGTGTTTTTTTCTCTTTTGGAGGGGGGTACTTGTTTTTGATGTCATTTCAAACCTAACAAAAAAATAGCAAAAATAGTACAAGGAATTCCCAGATACTCTTTTTTTTAAATCTCTGTGTGATGTGTTTATTCAGCTACCTACTTTCATTTTCTTCTTTTTTAAATCGAGGTATAATTGACATATATTAGTTTCAGATGTATAATGTAATAATTCCATAGTTTGCATATATTATGAAGTGATCACCACAGCAAGTCTAATTAACATCCATCACCACACACGGTTACAAAAATGTTTTTCTTGTGGTGAGAACTTTTAAGATCTCCTTTCTTTTTTTTTAACTGAAGTATAGTCGGTTTACAATGTTGTATTACTTTCTCGTGTACAGCATATTTGTTCAGCTATATACATACATACATGTATATTCCTTTTCATATTCTTTCTCATTATAGGTCATTGAATATAGTTCCCAGTGCTATACAGTAGGACCTTGTTGTTTACCCATTTTTGGGGGGTGGGCGGGTTGTTGATTAGGTTTATTTATTTCGTCAGTTATTTTAACGGGAACTACTGGGGACTGAACCCAGGACCTCGTGCATGCAAAGCATGTACTCTAACCACTAGGTTATACCCTCTCATATCTATTTTATATATAGTAGTTAGTATCTGTAAATTCTGAACTCCCAATCTTTCCCTCCCCTCCCTCTCCCCCCGTAACCATAAGTTTGTTTTCTATGTCAGTGAGTCTGTTCCTGTGTTGTAAATAAGTTCATTTGTGTAATTTTTTTAGATTCCATGTATAAGTGATATCATATGGAATTTTTCTTTATCTTTCTTGCTGAACTTCAGTTAGTATGACAATCTCCAGGTCCATCCATGTTGCTGCACATGACATTATTTTATTTTTTATGGCTGAGTAGTATTCCATTGTATAAATACACCACAACTTCTTTATCTAATCATCTGTCAGCGGACATTTAGGCTGTTTCCATGCCTTGGCTATTGTAAATAGTGCTGCTATGAACATTGGGGTGCATGTATATTTTTTAATTAAAGTTCTCTCTGGGTATATGCCCAGGAGTAGGATTGCTGGATCATATGGTAAGTCTATTTTTAGTCTTTTGAGGAATCTCAACACTGTTTTCCATAGTGGCTGCACCAAACTACATTCCCACCAACAGTGTAGGAGGGTTTCATTTTTCTCCACACCTTCTCCAGCATTTATCATTCATGGACTTTTTTAATGATGGCCATTCTGACTGGTGTGAAGTGGTACCTCCTTGTAGTTTTGATTTGTATTTCTCTCATAATTAGCAATATTGAGCATTTTCTCATGTGCCTATTGGCCATTTGTGTGTCTTCACTGGAGAAATGTTTGTTTAGGTCTTCTGCCCATTTTTGGATTGGGTTGTTTTTTGTTACTGAGTTGTACGAGCTGTTCATATATTCTAGAAATTAAGCCCTTATTAGTCATATTGTTTGCAAATATTTTCTCCCATTCCGTAGGTTGTCTTTTTGTTTTCTTTATAGTTTTCTTTGATGTGCAAAAGAAAACAGATCCCACCCAGAGCCAGGGCGTGCTTGGAGAAAAGGAGCCCCATCTGTTGAGGGCCTCCTGGGTGCTGTCTTGCATCAGGCCCTCCTCACAACAATCCTGAGTGTGGAATGCTCCCACGTGACAGCAGGCAGAGGGTGTAATGCACCCAGATCCGGCACCTGCCAGCTCTTGGCATGAGATCCTGGGCAGGGTCCATCCCCTGTCCTTGTCTCTGCACCTTCCTCCCTAGAAATTTGGGGCAATCCCAGGACCCAGCTCCCAGGCTTCCGGCAGGAGTCAGAGATATTTCCAAAGGGCCGATTGGTTCCACGGCACCCCTCAGGGGACAGGGGCAGCTATCATACTGCCAGCATTGCCCGAGGTTACACAGGCTCCAACCCCACCCTCCCTCCACTCCCAGGCAGTGTAGGCCCCCTGCTACTGGCCTACAGAGGCAAGACAGATGGTGACATTATGGTGACCAGTGACGATTGTGTATAAGTCAGGGCCAAACTGTGTCCTTTGGCTGAAAATCTGCCAGACGTGTGGTGAAGCTGGATGGGGCAGAGGGTGGTTTTTGGCTGAGCAGGCGTTCAGGGCCAGGTGTGGGATGGCCTTTCTATGGTTTGGTCCTTGCTTGATCCCAGTGCCTAGAGTAGTGCCTGCACGTGGGAGGTAACTGATACGTATATGTGGAATGAACGACAAGAGTTTGAGGATGGGAGGGAGAGGCGGTGGAGTCTGGCGAAGGTTCGGTGTGGCCGTGAGCAGCAGGTGTGCTGGGTCTCAGAGCGGGCTGGCCAGAGCAGGGCAGGCAGGTGGGAAGGCGATGCCAACCCCTCTTCTCCTGCTTCCCTCCCTCTGTAGACAATGCGGGGCCTCCCCCTGCCTCTTCACATCTTACTCTGTGACCTTGATCACATTCCTGTCCCAAGAGAGAGGACTTGATGAGCCTTGAGGCCCTTTTGGGCTCCAGCTGCCTCACTGGGAGGTGATGTGGTGCACTGGTTGTAGCAAAGGGATGGTTCAGCCCAGACTGTCTTTCCACTCCCCATGCGTCTAACATCCAGGACACCTCACTGACGGCACCATCAGGCTGGAGCTGAGCAGATGCTTTTCGGGCCTGGGCAGTGACTAACACCTGTGTCCTCACCTTTGTCCTCAATATTGGTATCACATTGGACCCAGTGAGGGTGAGAATGTGCTTTCCTTCTGGCGACCTCTCAGGCCAGCCTGTGGTGCCAGCAGATAAGGCACAGGAGGTCTGAGGAGGGGGTACCCCAGAGACACCCTACACCAGGGCTTCCTTGAAGACAGACTCACCTTGGCTTCCCATCCTTGGCATCCTTGGTGCCCTCATAGAGCCCGGCTCACAGCATGTGGCTAACAGATGTCTGATGAGAAAGGAAGTGTCTCTGCCCTAAGGAAGGTTTTACCCCAATGCAAATATGTGGACAACAGGCCCTCAGGGTTTAAGTGCCCAACCCAACATTCACAGTAGCTACTATGTCCCAGGTACCTACTCTGGGCGAGGGACTGGGCTGAGCACTTCCTGTCTGTCACTTCATGAGATTTCCATACCCATCTGAAGAGATCAGAACTATGATCAACCCCATTTCTATGAATAAGAAGACTGAAATCACACATCTAGGAAGGGGCAGAGCCAGGACTAGATCTCAGGCCTGCCCGGCTGAGCATCCTCGCTCCTCCCCAGTACCCACATCTCTCTCCAGGTAGCTGTGAAGGGCCTGCTTTGTGCCCAACCCTGTGCTGGGTTCAAGGTGGGGCAGAGAAGGTGAGGGACAGCCTGGCCCCTGGACCTTCCAATCTGGCTGCAGATACACTTAGAAGATGAAATAGTCTGTCCGATTCTGCATGGGGCGGGTAGGCCAGTGAGAGCGCCCGGAGTCCTGGGAGTCCATGATGGTGGGAGGGATGTGCAGAAGTGCTGGGGTCTTGCCTGCCAGGCAGCAGCATTTTCCTCACATTAGAACTGGGGAAAGTCACATCACCAGAAACAGTCTTAACATGGCTTTGTCCAGCTCCAAAGCCTTTCCCCTTTCCCCTGTCTTTCATTGCCTCTTAAATCTAAAGAGGCTTCCTGGAGGCGGTTTCAAGAAGAGATGAACTTTGCAGAGAAGAAAGCAAAGGAAACTGGAAAGGCAGGCTGGGGGCAGGGATGTGGAGAGGACGAGGACAGTGACTTTCTCAGACACCCGGGCCTGTCCTGCCCCACCTCCCCAGAACTTCCACTGGGTCTGCTTTGGAAACACATGAGTTATGCTCAGAATGACACTGCCACCAGGACACCTGCCCAGTGCCCCAAGGATCACCATGTCCGTAGCTTCCTTTCCAGCCCAACTCAGCCTCATCTGTTTCTCTTCCAAACACTCCTTCCTGCTCAAACATTCTTTCTTCTGACATCTGGGGAGACAGTGCACATGATGTGCACAGAAGTGCACAGAAGACCTTGGTTCCAGTTCCCACTTGGCCAGGGAACCCCAGACAAGCCACTGAGCCTCACTTTTTCCTCCATCAGGCAGAGCCGGAGAGAGCCAATCGCTCAGGTGGCCATGAGCAGATGTTAGACAGCAGATGGAAAAGCCCTTGTAGGCCCTCAGAGAGTGGAGCTATCCCCTCAGGATATCTGAATTCCCAGCCCCCGGCAGCCTTAACACCTTGGAAAAGATGGCAGTCAGGCGGGACCCAGAGGACACTCAGGATTTAAGCTGGTGGAGCCAGGGAAGGAGGTGCCCTGGAAGAAGGGAGAGCAGGAAGAGAGGTGTTGGCTGTGGGAGGGGGAAAATGGATTTATGGAAAAGGCAGAAGGTCCCAGGGCAGCTGCTAGCACCTTCAAGAGCCGGCTCTGCTGTCCCAGGAGGACAGAGCCAGGACTGTCTCCCTGCTGCAGCTGGAACCGGCCAACGCCCGGACCAGGGCCCATTCATCTAGCCGGTCACCAGGGAGCTCCCCTCTGCTGCCCTCGTAATCGCACCACAATCCTTCTCCTGTGTCTCAGTGGTCTCTGCCAGGTGCCCCACCGGGGAGTGAAGCTCCAGCTGGGCAGAGGGGACGAGCCCAGAGGGGCACAGCGCTGGAGTCAAGAGGCTGGAGGAGCCGCTGCCATCGGCTCTCAGGGCACAGTTGCTCAGGTACATTCTCCAGGCCTCTGGGGCCTCCTGTGCTGAGCACAGGCCAGCTGCTCACCACTCCCCAGGAAAGAACCCACAGAAGGAACTAGACACGTCCCACAGCTCATGGCTTCACATGTGGGAGATGGGAAGAGATGTACTGTCGGGGAGCAGGGAGGTTCCTGTGGGCTTGCCTCCGGACTCTGCGAGGCCGAATCATGTCAAGGCTGCCTGAGTCTGAATTCTGGTTCCGCCACTTCCTGGCTGGGTGTTCTTGGACCAGTTGCTTCACCACTCAGTGCCTCAGTTTCCTCTTCTGGAAAATGAGGAGGAAAAGTCTCTACTTCCCAGGGTTGTTGTGCAGAGTACATAAACTCCATCAGGGGTTGAGACAGCGCCCAGCACAGGCCACTTCCCCAAGCTTCAGCTCTTGTTATCACCTTCCTTCCAGGCCCCCATGGAGAGAACTGTAGCCAGTTGCTCCCAAGGCCAGGATAAGGGGGCCTGGAGTCCTGGAGATGGATGTTGGTTGGGGATGGGGTAGGGGTCTCCCTGAGCCACCTGACAGGGAGCTCTGCAGCCAGGACTGCTAGCACTCGGGAGAGGAGGTGGGCCCAGAGCTGGGGGTGGGCCAGGGGCTGCCTGAGGGCCCAGAGAAGCAGAGGAGAAAGGACATGCCAGGCCAGGAGCTGGGGCCACCCTGCCAGTCCCATCCATCCTACCTCCCGCCTTCCCTTCCCCCCTGGTCTTTGGGGCAGAGATTTGTGCTAGTTCAGGCCTGGAAATACCAGAAATACCAGAAACTAAAGTCGTCTCTCTTTGGGCGGCCACAGCACAAAACCAACCAACATGATCCTGCTATTAACCTCGATTAACTTGGAGAGGATTCCTTCTCGGGCTGTCGAGGCCCCTGTGGCTCCAGCCAAGCCCCCTCATGCTGGCCCCAAATGGCCAGGCCAGGGCAGAGGGTGGGCTGTGGAGAGTGGGTGGTGGGCAGTATCCCCGGCTCAAGGGCCGAGCCGAGAACAGGGCGTCCTGAGCCGTCGGGGCTGCGCTGCCCCCGGCCCCAGCACTCGGCCTCCGCTGCCTGTCCACAGACGCGGGCACACAGGAGGTGATTGTTTCCGCCTGACCACGGCGACTGCTCCCCGGGGCAGCCGAGAGCACAGACCTGGGTGTCACAGAGTTAATTGCCAACCACGAGGCCAAAGCCTGCCCCCTCCGCTCCTGCGGACACAGACACTCCAGCAAGAGACAGAAGGACAGTCACGGGCACACAGAGGCCCTCACAGGGCCCAGGACAGGAGCAGAGCCCGTCTGGTCACACACCCAGCTGGCCGTGTGCACACGCACTACACACACACACACACACACACACGCACAAATACACTCTCTCCCACCACCCACACCCCCAGAAAGAGGCTACACAGCAGCTACACCCCCTGAGGCACATTTCCTAGGAGGATAAAAACACCCATTCAGGCAGGAGATGGGGCAGGCACTGAAATAGAACCGCCAAGAAGCCACGGGGCAGAAGGGAAAAGACAGGCAGCAGAGGCGGACAGACCTGTGTTTGAGCCTTGGTCCTATCCCTTCCTGCCTGGGAGACTGGGACCCCCTTCCCCTCCCCAAACCTGCACAGTGCCATCTGTGAAATGGGCATGGATAAAACTCCCGGCGGCAGAGGGCATCCCCTCATCAGCAATGGCTGTGGTAAGCAGTAGGGGCCATTGTCACTATGATCTGCTCTTAAAGGTGTAAGGAAGCAAGATAGTCTCAGAAATGGGCCCAGTCTCAGCAGGGGGGCTGGGGCAGGTTCACAGAGTGGGGGACCCCTCAGCCTAGAGGGGCCAGCTGGGGAACAGCTACAAAAAGGGCTGGGCGGACAGGCCAGCGCTGCTACTTCTGTAGTCTTGCTAAGTTAATTCACCTCTCTGAGCCCTTCTTGTCTCATAAAATGACTAAACCTGTGGCGAGGCTGTGAGAACAGGACCTGACCGTAGCTCAGAGCACTGACGCTGGGCTGTCTGCCTGCTCAGCCGTGGGCTGTGTGACCTGGGACAAGTTGGCTAATCTCTCTGAAAACAGGGATGATAACAGTACTTAACTGATGGGTGCTGTGAGGGTAACTGGTCAGCACACGTGCAGACCGCGGAGCAGTGATTGGCGTGTGCAAGTGTGTTTAGCCATTGGTCTGGTAAGGACAAGCCCCAGCACAGCGTGAGTCCTGGCCTGCGGGAGTCAGCCTGCCTTGCTCTCTCCGTGGGCCTCCATCTTCAGGAGGCCCCATCTACCCCTCCCCTCTAAAAAGGAGGGTGCAGGGAGGAGCACTGGGACCCAGCCCTGCCCTCCCTCTGCCTCCCACAGGGACTCGGGAGGCGGCCTTCGTGTACGCCATCTCTTCGGCAGGTGTGGCCTTTGCGGTGACGCGGGCATGCAGCAGCGGGGAGCTTGAAAAGTGCGGCTGTGACCGGACGGTACATGGGGTCAGCCCACAGGGTGAGTGCAGGCTGTGGGGAGGGCGCGGGGGGAGGGCAGGGGCCTGGGCCCTGGCCCTCACTCACCCTCGGCTCCCCGTGCCCACCGCACCCCCAGGCTTCCAGTGGTCAGGATGCTCGGACAACATTGCCTACGGCGTGGCCTTCTCACAGTCGTTCGTGGACGTGCGGGAGAGAAACAAGGGGGCCTCGTCCAGCCGGGCCCTCATGAACCTGCACAACAACGAGGCCGGCAGGAAGGTAGCGTGCACAGCCCCGCCACCCCGCATCTGGGAGAGGGCGGGCTCGGCGAGGTCCCCACTCTCCACCCATGTGCCACACGGGAAACAGGCTCTCACTAGCACCAGGCACCTCCTGCAGGTCAGCGGGGTGCAGGGTGGTGGGAGAGGGGAGCAGACAGGTGACCAGGTGTTACAGAACCATGTGTGTGGCCCGCAGCACAGCACGTGTGCCCCCGACGTGCCCCACACACACATACCTACACAGGTATAGTCTCCATCCCGCTTTGTCACACACATCACGTAATAAACAGCAGAGCTGGACACTTTCTCTGTGTCGCTGCAAAGGTCATGTGCTTAACTGTGACACCATCTGCCACCTTGATCCCGACTCTGCAAGGTTCCTGTGCAGGTCCAGTGCAGCCGTGTTCTTCTCCATCACGTCACTGTTTTTGTATGACACAGCCCTTTAATGTCTCTCCTCTATCAACTCCGAGTGCCCCAAGGGCTGGGCCAGTGTCTTCAACTGTTCCCAACAGTTTACCAGCCTACCATGGCACACAGCAGGAGCTTAATACAGAGGGAGCACAACAGTCAAACTTTCTCCTCTCCTGAGGGCCTCCCCGCATCCTTGCCCCCGCCTTGCCCACCCCCTAGTGGCCCCTCCCTGGCCTCCCCTGACATCTCCTGATGGCCCCTCTCCCCTCCCCGTCCCCCGCAGGCTATCCTGACACACATGCGGGTGGAGTGCAAGTGCCACGGGGTGTCGGGCTCCTGCGAGGTAAAGACGTGCTGGCGAGCCGTGCCGCCCTTCCGCCAGGTGGGCCACGCACTCAAGGAGAAGTTTGATGGAGCCACCGAGGTGGAGCCACGCCGTGTGGGCTCCTCCAGGGCACTGGTGCCGCGTAACGCGCAGTTCAAGCCACACACAGACGAGGACCTGGTGTACTTGGAGCCCAGCCCAGACTTCTGCGAGCAGGACATGCGCAGCGGCGTGCTGGGCACGAGGGGCCGCACGTGCAACAAGACATCCAAGGCCATCGACGGCTGTGAGCTGCTGTGCTGTGGCCGCGGCTTCCACACAGCACAGGTAGAGCTAGCTGAGCGCTGCAGCTGCAAATTCCACTGGTGCTGCTTCGTCAAGTGCCGGCAGTGCCAGCGCCTCGTCGAGCTGCACACGTGCCGGTGACTGCCGCCCGGCTCTGTGCCCAGCAACCACCCCGTGGCCCGGGGAAGGCCAATAATTTAAACAGTCCCTCACCACCCACCCCAAAAGATACTGGTTGTATTTTTTGTTTTGGTTTGGTTTTTGGGTCCTCATGTTATTTATTGCTGAAACCAGGTGGGCGACCCCAAGAGCACCAACCGGGGCCTCCCTGCAACCTGGACCCTTGTGGCTGCCACTGACCAAAGGGACCTTGCTCATGCCTCTGGCTGTCCACATGTGGCCGCTGCTGACCACTCAGTTATCTGTATCTGTTTTTCTACTTGTAGACTTAAGGTGGGTAACAAAGAGTGTTACAGCCACATGCCTACTGACTCTGCCCTCCAGGGAAAGGGGTGACCCTATGGCAGGGGTATGGGCGCCATCTCCATGGCAGTGTCACCCCCAGACATACACAGATCCCTGGCCGCTTCAGCTCAGTGGCCTCGTCTCTCAAGCCCTCTGCAAAGGAGATGGGCAGATACCAGGTCCAGGGCAAAGGGTTAATTTCAGGCATCCAAGAGCAGCTGAGGTTCAATCTCTGTGAGACCCCACAGCCCAGCAGCCAAGCTACCCCTCACAGAGGGAGACCCCTACCCCCTGGTCCCTCCCAGGCAGGAATACGGCTGCAGCCCAAGTCAGAGACCCCAGCAGGGCCTTCACAGCAACGCCCCAGTGTGCGTCTCTTCATGGTGCTGCTCCTTGGTGAAGCTAAGAGTGGAAACGTCACATACACACACAGGAGCAAAGCCCTCTCCCAACCTTTATTTCACTCCCTTAACCAAATCTATCGAGCAGATACTGTTCTGGGCCCTGTCCTGGGCCGTCTCACTGGACGACCACAGCAATCTCGGGAGGACAAGACGGGGATGCTTGTGCCCATTCTGCAGGAGAAAGGGCAAGGCGCAGCCAGGTCCCAGAGCCAGTAGGTGCAGAGGCAGAGCCAGAAGAGCCCTCCAGCCAAGATGGAGCAGGCTCTGAGGGAACAGGAGAACAGCTGGAAAGCTGACGAGGTAAGGTCTCAGCAGCAGAGGCCCTCCCGCCCCCAGGCACCTCGGGCTCTGAGGAGCCCCGCAGAGCCAGCACCAGCAGCCCGGGCCCGGCCCTGTGCAGGGCCAAACCAGCAGGAGCCCAGCTCAAATTTCTGTGAGCAGAACCTGCACATAGAGAGCCCTGGCCTGACCCAACTGCTTCTCAGATGGGCTCCCAACCCCCAGAGGGCCTTGCTCTCAGCCCAGTCTCCAAGCTGCCCCCACACTGGGGCTTCAAGCTCCTGGTTTGATGTCTTAAGCTCCGAGATCCCCTTCGGAGGATCTCAGAAGACCCCCGAGTTCTTGGCTCCAGGGTTCTGTGTCTAAATTCAAAGTCTCAGATCCAGAACACGGGCTCCAGCCTGTAGACGCTCTCCTCCAGGCCTGTGTTTTGTGCCTCCTGGTGTTGGCTCCCTCACGAAGAGAGGGTCAACACCCTTGGCCCCCAGCCAAGCTCTCTGCTCAATGTCCACCCAAGAAGGCCAAAACCAAGTGAGATGCTGGACCCACATTCAAATGCGGGGATAATCGTGGGGCAGGCAGGCTCTGATGTGGATGAAAGCTGAGCCGACCGAGTGTCCCCACAGCAGCCCAGCTGGGCTCGCTGCTCCTCTGGCGGGCTCTGCTCAGCTGTCTGCTCAGCGCCAGGGAAAATACTACCCCTCACTGCAGAGGCCAGGCCCACACAAAGGAAGCGGTGGAGACCCCTCCCCACCCCAAGTCCTGTCCCCAGAACCTGGGGACTAGCAGACCCAGGCTGGGTGCTGGCAAGATGGGCACTGCCCCAGGAAGAAGTGAGAGTGCCTGTGTCCATTCATAGGCTTCACCTTTCCACCTGCCAGGAGGCTCCTCAAAGCAGATCCTCCTGGGTTCTGAAGGGTGTCACCTCGGTGAAGCAACCTAGATTCTAGCAACCTCTGCCCAGCCCGACCACCGCTGCCACCAGCACCCCAAAGGCCAAAGGGATCCACAGACGCAGGAAAATGGCACTTCCTTGGACACACCCAGCTCCAAACTGTCCCAAATAAAGAGGAGGAACCAGCACAGGCCTGACAGAGCCCACTCACCCTGGAAGCTGGCCAGAGGGTCCAAGCCCTGCCCGAAAACCTCTCCACTAGTCTTACCACAAGGCAAAGGTGTCCTCTGAGGCCTAGGGCTGGACAAGCCCCGGCTCTGGCTGCTGCTACCCCCTCTGCTGTCCCTGCCCCATCCCCAATTTTTATACTAGGCTCCTTGCCTTTGTGACATCCCCATGAAATAGTCTGATGCACGATAAAATGATTATTTCTTTATCTTGCAACTGTGGCAGTGACTCTTTTTGTAGAAGAGGGAGAAGAGAGACCTGGGGAAGGGCATGGGAAAAGCAGAGAAACAGTAGCAAACTCTAGCCATGCGGACCCTCTTTGCCCTTTCACCTTCTGAGTAACTGGTTTGATGTCCTCAAGGAACCCACCCACATGCTGTCTGGGATTCACCTTTGACACCCAGAGGCTGTATCTGCATTTCTCTGATCCAGCTATTCAAACCTTGGCCTGATCCAAGGTCTCAGAATCATTCTAAAGCACTGATGTGGAGAGAAGGGACAGAGACAATGACAGAGGAGGGGCTGGCAAAGTGGGTATTGATTTGAGGAGGTGGGGGACAAATGGAAAAGAATTTAGTTCCTGCCAAGGACACAAGGATTCAAAGCCCGTGGCTAGAAGCAAACTCCAGGATTGGAGCCCAGTCGGGATTAGGAGTCTGGATGGAAAACTCCATATAACTCAAGTCACAGCCTCCGGGGGTACCCGAGGTGGCTTGTCAGGAACCTGAGCCTAGGGGAGTGAAGTCCTCATCCTTAGCAAGGGGGCCATGCACCACTCCCCCGCCCACTGCAACAAATCCACACTAGCCTGGGAACGGTTAGGCTGCTATGTGCTTCGCTCTCCAAAAGTTCAGTGGGATATAAAAGGGCCAAAGCAAAGTGCTTTTAGGATAGCAGGGGTACACACAGATTTGTAAAGGATTGGGGAGGGGGTCTAGAGTATGGGTGGATAGAAAAGGACACATCCTCAAATCAAGGTCAAAAGCAGAGAGGAAGGGACTACTGATACAGAGGGTCCAAGGCAGAGCAAAGAGGTGACGCCCACGCCCAACCACCTTCTAGAACTGGGAACAGGACCCAGGCTTTGCCATCGAACAGACCTGGCTTGGAACCCCAGTGCTACCACTGCTTCACTATATGGATCCTTGGACAACTCATTGTCCCCCTTGAGGACTCATTTTCTTCATTCATAATATGGGGCTGCTTGTGCTGCCCCAACTTCATTCATAATATGGGGCTAAATAGTAATAGAACCTATTTCTTGGAGATGTTAAATAAAATATGTCAAGTTCCACAAATGGCAGCTATTATCATAAATATAATAATTCCCTTTTCAGGAATGTAGGAGGCAGTTAAGGTAGCGCTGAGATTGAGGAGGTCAGAGGGAGGATGAGATGAGGAAGCAGAGACAGTGTAGGGTAGGGTAGGAGCTGAAAGTAGGTGCCTCAAGACTGTGGTCCTACTGTGGCCCCATCCTAGAGATCAGAAGCAGGTGGATGTCTCGGGACAGAGATCCCCAGGCAGGGAAGGGAGAATCCAAGGATCAGGACATCCAGGGAGCAGCAAGGCAACGGCAAAGCTGAACCGAGGTCCCAATGCGGGTGAGAAGCAGGGCTAGGACAGGGAGTCGGGGTAAAGAAGGGCACAGTCAGTAGTGGAGGTGGGCATGTCAGAGCTGTAGGAAGCTTAGGTTGTGGGGCCCAGGGGCTCTGCCTGTGGGGATGGAAGGCTTTCAGGACTTCAGGCAGGTCAGCTTGCAGAGAGGCTGTGCCTAGATCCATCCCTGACAGAGCCCTCAGACTAAGGCCTGAAGGTTTCTGGGAAGGTTGTAAAACCACATGATAAAAGAGACCTCCTTCTCAGTTCCTTCTTGACAGCCAGTGGTCTCAGGGAAGTCTGGGGAGACCAGAGGCAGGGTTTAAAGTGGATCTTCGGGCAAGGAAGGACCAGAGAACACAGGAAAATGGAGGGTAGAAGGAAGCACAGAGCAGCGGAGAGGGGTTAAGGAAGGCTGAGAAATAGAGGGAGGAAAGGGCAGCGGGTGGGAGGACAGACACAGGTCCAGAAAGACGGAAATACACCAGAAGAGAGGAAGATGCCAAGGGACCAGAGGGGTCCAGCAGTTTCCTAGTAAGAGGAGAGAGTGCTGAGCTTCAAGAGAAGGCATCTGACTTAAGAAGGTCTCAGGGATGTGGGGGAGGGGTGGAGTGTGGCCTAGCCTGGCCCAGGCGATGACTTCATAGGCATCTCCCCCCATTCCTTCCTGAGCCGCCAGGCCTGCTGACCCCCTGCCCGCATCTCAAGGGTCCAGGCCAAGCAGGCGCTGACAGGGGAGAGAAGGGGCCCTTCTGGGCCAGGCCCCCAAGCTTGGCATAGTGCCTGCTGGGGAGGAGGGGCCTAGAGGCCCAGCCCTTGTCAGCATCCCAGCCGGCACTTCGGAGGCAATTAGCAGCCCAGCTGAGCTAATCCCCGGCCTGGCGAGGCCAACACAAACAGGCCCAGGCCGGGTGCACACTCGCCTCCCTGTTTGCTGAGGGGCCCAGTGGTCCGCCAAGAACAACACCAATAACCCGGGGCCTTCTCTAGGTTAAGAGGAGGACCAGGGCTTGCTGAAGAGCTGACAGTACCCGACAGAGCATACTCTGGCCAGGTGCCCTGGCTGCCCCAGAAAGGCAGCCACTGTTCCCAAGCCTTTGGCCAGCCAGGAAGAGGAAGCTGGACACAAGGAGCCATGTACTCTGATTCAGTGCCCTCCCCCACCCCAACCCATGCCACCTGTGAGGGAGACAGGCCAACTCAGGCTTGTGCTACCTCAGCCAGCCCGACAACTGAGGCCAGCAGGGGCTGGGTCCTCTGGTCAGGACTTGGGGGTCACAGGCTGCATGCTGGACATGGGAGCCCGGAGGCAATTCAGACCTGGGCCCTTCCCTCAAGGGGCTCATGGTCTAGTGAGAGAACAGACTGGGTATGACCCTGGAGCAGGGCCAGTCTCTAGCCCCAGAGGAAATCGCCCAACTTGGAAAGACTATAGTAGCACCCCCACAACTGAGAAGGCAAAGGGGGACCCAGGAAAAAAAACAAACTGAGGCCCAGAGATTGATAAATGGGGAGATGGTGCCAAAGGAGGCATGAGGGATCCAGAACAAACTCTGGCACAGACTGGTCCTGGTTCAAGCCAGCAACCACTGGGAGAGCCCAAAGACAAGGTCCTGCTCCTGCATCCCCGTTTCTTGATTCCAGCCCAGTTTTACCTTCATCAGCCTGCGGGACAGACACAGGAACAGAAAGACAGAAAGACATCAGAAGAAAGAGAGGAAGGCACTAAGGGACCAGAGGGCATCTGGGCAGAGGAGTCCAGCAGTTTCCTAGTAGGAGGAGAGAGTGAGCATCTCTGGGAGTATCTCTTTTCTGAGCCAAACCCCCTATCCTGTTCGGTTCCTCACCCACCCAGGTACCTGTGGACTTTGCAGCCACATCAGGAACCACAGCCTCCATGGAGCTTCTACTAGGGAAAGTGATACAGCCTCCTGCGTGGCCAGGCCCCTCGGGATGCTGTGCTGATCGTCAATATCCAACAGCACCACCATTTACTGAGCAGCAATTGGCTCCCACACTAACGCCGCCTACCAGCACTATCCCGTGTCATGGTCACAAGCAAGTAACAGACCAGGAATACTTCCTGTTGGAAAAGCCAGCTGAGAGGCAGCTGCATGATTTATCCTCACTTTACAAATAAGGACACTGAGGCCCACAGAAGGGAAGACTTGCCTACAGCCAGAGCCCAGGTCTCCAGGCTCCTGGTCAGGATGTAGTTTGTTACCAGGCCCACCACAAGCCCCTTCATTTGTCCTCACCCCACTGCTGGCCTAGACCCACCTTTGATGCTTCCTGGGCCAAAGAGCCTCAGAGTCTTGAGCCCACCCCCTCCCCACAAAACATTATCTGTCTCCGGCCGGGCTAAGCTCCACTGTCACTCTCCTGGGAACCTACACGTTGCTCTGTAGGCAGCTTTCTCTAGGGCAGAGGGTGAGGAAGGCTACAGTCAAACTCCTAGGGCTGACAAAACCACAGCTGGAAACAGTAGCCCTGCCTACCAGCCCCTGTCCCTGGCAGGGGTGGCAGAAGACTTCAAGTCCACTTCCAAGCCTGCCAGAGAGGCTGTCGGTCCCTGCCCACCACAGGACAGGGCTGACATCCACAGTCTGAACTCTGGGCTGCTCCCACACCTGGCTCCAGAGCATCAAGCCTGGACCACCGTATCGATGAAGAGATGAATCCTTTTCCCCTTCAGTTCAGCCAAAAAGGGAAGTAGTTTTCAAAAACATCTTTTACTAGGAAACTGAAGGCAAACAAACAGATTATAAGCACACAGAAACAAGCAGATGCCTAAGCAGGACTTTAACCAGCAGCGAACCAAAGCCCTATAGATGCTGCTCCTCCCTCCTCTCCTCGTGCAGCCCCACTCTAGACACCAGGATGCGGGGCCTCGTTCCAGCCCCATGGTCCACAGCCTGCGCAATCTGAGGCAAGTGAGTAAGTGCTAACTCTCATCCGTAAAAGAGAGGTGAAGACAATGGCAGAGCCAAATCAGGACTCAATTCTAACTCCAAAGCCACTACTCTATACAACCTCTCCCCCACCCCGCCATTGCAGCTTTTGGAAGACCATGTAACACTAAATGGAGACATGCTCTGTGGACTGGGAGGGGCTGTCAGGGTCAGTGATGCTCATCGTCAGCCAGAACCCTGGCTCTTTCTTTAAGAATGATGGGAAATGTTCACTGGGGGTGTGGGACTGGCACTGTAGGTTTCCAGTCCCATCAGGTTTAGGTGACATGAGAATTTGCTGGGTCTTCCTTCTCCTGGGAGTCTTCCCATCCCTCCTCCTCCCTCCGTTCAACACCTCCTGCAGCCTGGGCCTCCTCTCATCCCCTTCTTGGGCCTCGGCTGGAGCCACCTGGGAAGCTTCAGGAATAGCTGATGGTTATCACAGTCAGGACAGGGCGAGTTGCTGCCCCTGATTCATCACGGAGCTGGAGCGGGTCCAGAAAAGTGACCAGGAGGATGCAAGGCTGCTGCTATGAATTCAGACTGCTTCAGTCCAGAAAGAGGGAGGCTGAGACAGAGGGCAGCTCATTCAAATCAGAAAGGAAAAATGAAAGGGGACTTTATAGACTCATCCTTCAAAAAGAACAGGCATGGGGTGCGGAGAAAGCC